GCTGACCTTAAGGTTCGCAGCCCGATTCGTAACCACTACGCTACCAGAGCTCCTTAGTATAGTAGTACAATTATATATTCTATGGCCTACAATTTTATACTCTAAATGCCCAGCAGAAATGTTTACATACATCAGTGGGACAAAGATTTGAACAGGAATGTTCATAGTACTGTTAGATGTAGTAGTTATACATAATGGAACTTTTTTGAACATACCCAATTTTCTTACAAAAGAAAGCTGGGTACATTGTGACTGACATATGGGCAGTCCTTGGGTTATGAATGTCTTACCGACACTCTCCTTTTTGTCTTTTAATGAGGCTTCCAACCAAGTTCTGTCATGACCAATAAAGTAAAAGAACAGATTAGAATGTTTACAATTACGGTGATTTGTCACTGTAACGGGAGAGGGAAAAGTTACAGGTCAAAGTCCTGGAATGGAACACTCAGACTAGGCATAGTGAGCCCTTTCAGGAACTCGCTGGATGGCAATGGGTTACTGGCAGGACTTGGAGAACCACATACAACCAAGCAGCTTGGTCAGCCAACATCCATGAGTGGAATAGCGCCATCTTTGAGGTGGGTACCACCAATTTTGAAAGCCCACTTTGCTGTTGTTATTATTTAGCGCCATGGACTCAGACCCTGTATTGGGTTTCCCTGGAGTGGCTGGTGGGTTTGAATTGCCAACTTTGTGGTAAGCAGTTTCATCATACGAGGACTTCAGGCTGTAAATCAGGCTGTTGAAGGAAGACTCAGTTTACTAATAATGTAAATTTGTCCTCCCTTTGAAACAACTGAAGCAAAATTCTGCTCCCATAAAGATTTACAGCCTCAGAAACCCTATACAGAATTGCTGAGTTGAAACCAACTACACAACACATAACCATCCCATCAATCCCACTACTTGCAACTAATTTTTCATCACAAGCACCTTCAATTGCTGTACATGCAGTTTTTAAATCATGTAGAGACTTCCAGCTTTTTTTTTTTTTTTTGTACAAAATAAGATCAAATAAAAACCATATGTACACAATCAGAATGACCTACAAATTTTAAAAGACACAGTTAGAAACGGGTCTTGTTCTAACCTGGGACTGCCTATACACACTATGTAACACTACACAGGCATCTATAAGGCAAATTTGTAGGCATTTTCGACTTCAGGCAATGATTCTAGAAACGATTTGGTTTAAGACAGTTTATTACTAGGGAATTATGGGACACAGAATCCTTTACTGAATCTTTAACTTTTCCTTTTATTTTGACTCATTTTATTCTAATATATCTATAAAAACATAAGGAGGAAGTTAAATTGAAATTCATTGTGAAAGCAACATATTTGAACCAAAACTATCTCAAGAAGTAAAACAAAACAAAACAACAACAAAAAAAAACAGGGAACCTCTGGTAAGTAACAAATTATTTATGAAAAGGATCACTTAAAAAGCCAGATAAATATAAAGTCTCATTTACCCATACATATTTAAACAGTGCCTTATTCAGAAACATCCAAGCAATTGTCTTATAAACACAGATAAATACTAGATATCAGTTTTTTAAAAAATCTCTTCCTAGTGTCATCTGAACAAATTCTTTTGAAAGATAAAAAGGAAGATATTTTAGTCACCCAAAGTCATTTGCCCTGGTGTGGCAACTGGACTGCAACTGCAAGGTTGGTGGTTCAAACCCACCAAGCTACTCCTCGGAAACCCTATGCAAGGTCACTATGAGTTGAAACCAACTTGACAGCACTTATCAACAACATCAATTTAGTCACTCAAGGTTTCCCTACCCCTGGGCCTCATCTTGGAAATATCCATGTATTTTTAATTTTGGGATTATACTATAAGCAAGTTGGTAAAAACAGATGCATTTTTAGAGTTATTGTCAAAAAACGGTACCTTACAAGAAAAATATCTTACCACTTGTGCCGGAACTTGTTCCATTTTTGCAGCAGGAGTTCCCGGTCTTGGGTAAAATTGGTTAATAAAAAGACTTGGAAATTTGTACTCTTCAACAAGTTTCACTGTTTCTTGAAAATCTTGATCTGTTTCTCCAGGAAAACCACAGATGATGTCTGTAGCAATAGTTATTCCAGGAACTCTAGAGAAAAAAACAAGGCGAAAAAGGAACAACATTGACTCTAACGCATAATTACTCTACTTCTCTGACATATTAAATATCATTGTTCTTTTTAAAATTCAATTTTATTTTTAGAAGAGGGACACTTACAAATATTTTCAAAAGAGCCTTAGCTATTAAAAACTTATAGTGTGGAACGAAAACAAAATCCACAGGGAGGAAGTGGGATAACTTATGTTGCATGGAGGAGGATGCAATCATTGAAATGAAACAGAGTGTGTGATTTGTTGAATGTAAAACTGATGATCTGTACTGTAAACCTTCTAAAAAGTTAAAAGATAAATAAAAGTTTATAATGAAAACCAGTGGTTTATTGTCTTGTCCTCAGTCACCCACCTTTAATTCTTCTAAATGTTTCTCCATATTTTTAAGTAGATGCCTATATTTATCACTTTTTTAGACAATACTTCATGATGTCTCTATTGTGGCAAATGTTGATTTAGTTCTTATAACTATTCTCTGTCTCCCCTTCCAAGATAATTTTCCACAATTTTCAGTTAAATTAATACTAATCCCATAGATAGGAATGGCAAATATATTGCTCACTGGTCAACTGGTATACCAAAGCCAACCTACTGCCATAGAAACATTTCTGACCCCTAGTAACCCTATGAATTTCCAAGGTGGGATATCATTACAAAGTAGACTGCAGTGTCTTTCTCCTACAGAGTAGCTGATGAGCTCAAACTGCCAGCCTTTTGGTTAGAAGCCAAATTTCATAAACTCTGTCAGATACCAATGTTGCTGTTGCTAAGTGCCGTTAAGTCAGTTCCGACTCATAGCTATCGTGTATAGGGTTTCCAAAATGTGGCTGGTGGATTTGGACCATCAACATTGCGGTTAACAGTCCAATGATTATCCTAAAGTGCCAGACTATCAATACTGTCTTCTAAACATCCAGTGGATCATGCCATTCACTAGTTCCTTCCCCTCACCCCCAACCTGGAGATGTCACTATTGCTTACTTCAGCTATGTCTCCACAGCACAATGAATCTGCTCCATCCCTGAACATTGCTACTTTTAATCCAGCTCCCTTTTCCTGGATGCTGTGTCTTCTTAATATTCTCATTCTTCTGGAGAATATTTCAGAAGTTTCATCGGGAAGAATACCAGAGAAATTTTATTTTTACGTTTTAGGATGTCTGAACATGTCTTAATCCTCACAACGGACCGATACTACGGCAGTGTTCCATTAGTTGTAACATCATTTTGTTGTTGTTGTTGTTTTTAGTTGCTGTTGAGCTGATTCAGTTTCAGGGTGGTGACTTGTGTGCTCCAAAGATTGTCAAGGCTACGGCCTTACAGAAGCAGGTTGCTAGGCCCACCTTGTGGTTCAAACCGATCTTGCGATCCAGTGCTTATCCTAAGGCACCATACAAGAACTTTAGTTCTAGGATATTCTCCATTATTATTTCTTTAATCATTCATTTTCTCTCTATGGGACTACTCTTTTTTGGAAGTTGAAACTACTGAATTGACTAAAATAAGCTTTCTCTCTCTTTAGTTTCCATCTTCACCCTTTTCTCCTATTTTCCTGTCAACTTGTTTGTTTAAAAAAAATTCAACTGAATATCAAAATTTGACTTTCCAAGAGCTCTTTCTTGCATACCAATTTTCCTATTTCACAGTATCCTATTTAAAAAAAAAAAAAATTTAGATGCAGTATCTTTTCATATCTATTTGAGGATATTATTTAAACTTTTGCAAATTTTCTTCTTCTTTTTGTAACTGCACCTGTTTCATGGGGTTATTATACTTTGGATGCCTTCCTTTGTAGTTGAGGCTTCCATCACTAAATAATGCCTCTTGCTGATACTTCATATTTAAAAGGAAAACACAACCCTGTCATCATAGAGTAGTAGCAAGCCGTCTCTTCTTGGTAGATGTCTCAAACTTTTGTATCTTGCAAGTTTTATCTGTGAGGTCCTTCAGTTCCTCCAAAAGAATGATCTCATATCCTCCCAAGGATTACGTATTTTATTTTAGTGTTCTATGAAATCCAGATTTAAAAACCTAGTATTATAACAATAAGAAAAACAGCCCCAAACATTGAAAATCATAGAGCAAATACTTAATTTATAGGTATATCAATTTTCCTAATAAATATAAACCTCCTGTCACCTCAGTACATTTCTATATGGATGAATAAAGTACTTGAGATATATGATATATTTGGAGGCATAAGAGATTTTTTTTTAAAAGGATGCTTTAATATGAAAAATCAAATTATTTGATTATGAATAGCAACAAGGAGCCCTGGTAACACAGTGGTGAAGTGTTTGGCTGCTAACTAACCACCTGGTGATTAGAACCCAATAGTCATTCCATGGGAGAATAATGTGGCCGTCTGCTTCCATAAAGATTTAAAACCTTTGAAACCTATGGGGTGGTTCTACACTGTCCTACGAGGTTACTGTGAGTCAGATTGATCTCGCCAGCAATGAGTTTGTTTTGGAGGGTTAATAAAACAGCAACTTTGTAAACCTTGTTTGCATATTACTTTAATTTTTATGACAAATGGATTGTTTAAAAGATTTTTTTCTGAATCCAACTTTGCCTGATATAACTATTAATTTGAGAGGACTTCACTTAGTAAGATGAGTTCCAAGTTCTGGAGCTTTTCTCTGAGACTCTAAAAAGATAATATGAATAGGGTAACAATAAAACAGTGTACCTGAAGAAATGTAAATAGATTTATATGGTGTGAAAAGTTTTTGGTTTTTTTTCCTTTAAAGGTAATTATTAAAATTATACTTGAGAATCATAAAAAGCATATGCTTTTACAGAATACTGTAGATTAAAAGAACAATTTCCTCAATAAAAAAGTCAATACATTTTAATTAGTTGGTTTTACAATTGCCTTATATCTATCTACTCCTGATCAAAAGAAATCCTCAGAACAGATAAAAGGAATGATGCACAGCAGACAATGAGTGAGAAGAGACCATCTATCCATAAAGTTAAAAAAAAAGAGAGAAAGGAGAGAAAGAAAGGAAAGAAAAAGAATAATCTAGAAACTAGCTGTGAAATATTGCAAAAACAAGACAATTGGATTACTGTTCTAGGTTATGAATTGGCATGAACTTGGCACTAGAGAACTGGGTATTCCCAAAGGAAAGTACCTTGCTGATTTCCTTCAACCTTCTTGATCCATTTTAGTTCAGTTCAGTATTAGGCAAACCCCTGCTTACTTTGGCCTTGAGATCCACATTGAAACAGAATAGTTAAACATTAAAAAAAAAAATGAGTTGTAAATGTTAAGGGATGGGATGTTCAATGCATATATATGCACTGCATGAGAAGGCACTGGCTTGCAAGGTCTGTTTGAACCTCAAGGTCGGCTATTCAAACCTACCAGCCACTATTCGGAAACCCTAAACAGAGTCGCGATGAGTTGGAATCAACTTCATGCACTTAATAACAACATAAAAACCTGACTGATACAGGGGAAAGTAAGTGTTATTAATGAATTAGTAAAACACCCATGATGCTAAATATTTAAAAGAAATTCCAATTTAATTGGTTTAGAAATACTTAAGAATATAGATTTCTTATAAATGGATTTTTAAATTAGAGACTGCACATTAATGTTAACTGAAGCTCATCTATGCATTAATTTTTGGTATGCAAATGATGCTGCTCAAGTTCTTGAAAATGATTTGACCTCTTAGGTAGATGAACTAAAATATATTTACACTGTTAATTTGCCTATTAAATAATTCTCTTCAGTACAGGAGGAAATGAAACAACCATTAGAAATGGGCCAAGTTCTCAATTATTACATGATTTTAAGTGTCTAAAATAAAACTGTAAAAGGTGTAAAATGGAATATCAATCCACATATTTAAAGTACAAATTCTGGATACTGTTTTGATATGAACTTTCAAAATACTATAATCGTAAGAATGATAATTTCTATGAATTTATGAAAGCTGTGAGTGTAAGGTATATAATTATTAAGTACTATTTGTGCATTTTTTATTTTAAACTGTCTTTATGCATTCAAAATAGTTTTTGATAATAATTCTTAAAGATTAAAATGAATGTTTAATTGGCTTCAACAAAAAGAATTTGAACCATTATATATTTTTTTACTTATACATTCTAGTTACTGGCAAAATAGACTTACCAGACAATCTGAAAATGGGTTTGCTGAAGACAATTTTAATCATGGATCTGAACTTGTCACTGTTTAGTTACCCAACCCTATTAGGGACCTGTGAGAAGAGTACTGCATACTGCTGGCCTTAGGCTAAATTTAAATAAGTTCTGGATAAGCACAGGAATGTTGAGCAAAAGGTTGACAGTTCAACCACTAAATCTGTCAGTTTGTCATATTGTAGTGGCTTGCATATTGCTGTGATTCTGGAACCTATGCCCCCAGTATTTTAAATAAATGCAGGGTCACCCATGGTGGACAGGTTTCAGCTGAGCTTCCAGACTAAGACAGACTAGGAAGAAGGAGATACGGACTACTTTCGAGTCAATAATCAATGAAAAACTTATCAACAGCAGGGGAACACTGTCAGCACAAGAATACTGAATACCAAAACATGATGAAAAGCACCAAAATACTCAAGAGGTAGCATGTGATCAAGAGCCAATGATACTGAAGAAAATATTCTAAGGTGCACTGAAGACATTGGCAAAGAACAAGTCTCTGGGAATTGATGGAATACAAATTGAAATCTTTAATCAAACTGAGTCTGCACTAGAGGCACTCACTCATCTATGCCAAGATATCTGGAAGAGAGCTACCTAGCCAGCTGATTGGAAGAGATCCATATATGTGCCCATCCCAAAGAGAGGAGACACAAAGGAATGCTGAAACTGTTGGACAATATCATTAAGATCATATGGAAAAGACATTTTGCTAAAGATCATTAAGTCATGGTTGCAGCAGCACAATAATGAAGAGCTGTGAGAGGTGGAAACTGGATTCAGACGGGGATGTGAAATA